GTGCAAACCTTGGTTCATGATTGGACGCAAAGAAGAATTGTTTTTGATGTAGGGCAGACCAGATATTTTGTGTTGTGGGGTCAAAAATTAAAGTATAATTTTTTTTAAAAAAAAAATCAATACAGTATTAATGAAAGTAAGTTAATACGCATTTTGATACTTTGAAAACGCCTTATAATTATATCATTATCAATATTGTTAAATGATTTTGCTACTTGTTTTTACCATTTCGTTGACAGATGTTGAGTTGAGACAAGTATATAAAATTGAATATAGTAAATAAATGAAATTTAAATTTAATGCAAAAGTAATTCGAAAGTAATTCAAATTACATTTAATCCCTAAAGATCCTAAAATCTTTTATGTCATATTTCATGTAAACTTTCCTAATAAAATGATGTTAAATTATATTAAAAAATTTATCGTACAAAAATAATAAAAGTTAATGAAATAATTGAAAACTTTTAAAGAAAATAAGAGATGGATGCCTATTTTAAGATGTACGTTTGACGCATATTTAACTATTTTAGATATCCGTTTGGATCGTACAATAGGACTACAATATAGTTCTTGAAATGAGTTTCTAGATGATGAAGGCAAATTGTTGATTCGAATAGTATACGATCATCAATGAATTTTGAAAATCAACATATTATCAAAATTCTCGAAATACTAATTTGGAACGGCTTACTTTGATACGTCGTAACTTTTGCTATTTTAGTCGTTTCGCAAACCATTATCGAGCGAAAAACTAGGTCATAGTATTAAGAATGCAATATTTTGATTTCATTTGACATCATGTAACGAGTGCGTCAAAGTCATAAAGGGATTAAAACAAATATTTTCTAAAAAAAGCAAAAACAAAAATTATGTGGGGTCATTTGACCCCATGTGGATCCAGCCATGTTTTGGTGGACTATGGAACCACCTGGTTCGAAGCATAATGTTCATCCCATCTATAGTATATTTTTTTGCATTTTCTCTTCAATTCGGAGCCCATTTCTCACGATCGTTGTCCCTCCCACATCTATAATATCTTCAACAGTTAACTAACTTGAATATCGAAGTGTTCACAATAGCCTTCCCCACCACTGGAGATACGGCCACTTGCATCTAACATTTTAATCAAGTGTGCAGAAACTCTACACGTGAACGAGAGTGGAGCCGAAATCTCTTAACCACGTATTCTTACAATATTTCAATATCAACAAATTGACGTTGTCTGTGAAAAATCACATTTGTCTTTATTTTCAGCCTCTTTTATCCACAAAACAAAATAAAAGGCAGTGTATTTGAAGTTGTCCTTGAAGAAAAGACAAGAAGAAGCTTTGAAGGATCCCACTCTAGAAGACCCCTTTTGAAGAAAAAAGGCACCTCGTCAAAATAATTGCAAGCGAAGAAAGTAGCACTAACTCACGATCTCTGAGGATGAAGCCCCGCCGACCTGTACTCATCATCGTCAAGCCCACCATCGAAGAGAGGAAAGGGTTGTCACTCGCTTCACCATAGAGATTGCAGCCATGGCCACCAACATGAGAAGCATCGAGGAACAAAACTCAACTATGCAACTTCTCCGACGACAAATGCAGGCACAAAGAGGCATACAAATGCCCCAAAACCAAAGGAGTGAAATAGAGATAAGCCTCGTTGATGATGGTCAGAACGTATTAGTATAGTTCTTTGGCATTACTTGTTAATTGAGTTATATTTCAGTTAACGTTTCATGTTAACCAAATGAAAAAAATTCGTGTGTATAAGATATCGTGATAACTGATAATATATAAAATGTCCCTTGTATGTTGAAACTAGTGGTATTGTCTACTGTTTTAATTGCAATTTAAATTAATATTGACAACTGAAAAGGGTAATATAATTAATAATTTCATGATAACATATGATATTACCAAACCGTAATAATACGAACAATGAGGTATCATCGCGAGTATAGGACGCCAAAAAAATGAAAGGTAAAGACATTTCCCACAATAACAATGAAAGGTGTAGACGTTATGTGCTATTTAACATTGGGGTTAAAAAACCAAAAGAAGTATTGTAGTTATATATGGAAATATAAATTTTAATTACTTTCTGATGAATTACTACAAGAATTCTGTATTTAAAGGGTTACTGAAATTCATACACCATATCCATTTAATGAAGTGTTCATTTTTAAACCTCAAGAAACTGGCCCTCGAGACATGTTTGATACATGGTCACAAAACAATAAACAGTAACTTCTATCGATAATACTTTTCATTCTTAATACTTTCCACTATTGTTCAGTAAACAAAACGTACCATTAATGCATTTTCCCATCGCACATGATTTCACTTAAAGTGAAAATGCACGACAATTAGCTACTAAAACAGTAAGATAAAGCATGAAGACAAGGCACAACAATCATCCAAAAGGGCCACGAGTAACATATTCACAAAAATCACACTAGAGTTAAGGTAATGGAAAACA